TTATTGATCTTTTAAATACATATTGACAAGCTGTGACTTTATGGCGTTTTAGTCACGGGCTGAAGTTATCAGCAATGGCTTTTGAACTTTATACTTAAAGGCTAAAGTTAGCTGTAAAGTTACTTTAGATTTGTCAAATGTCATACAATCGTCAAATAAAGTGCCCTTCTTGTAAAATAATACTAAAATGTGAAAGCTATTTTGTAATCTCAATAAAAAATTATTAAATAGTTTCTTGACGCCAATATTTAATAGGTTTATATGCACGTTTTTACTGACCTTTTTATTTCGCCGACAACTAGTAGGTATTTGCCGATAAAGCATTAATACTTTCTTGTTACTTTCATCTATGATTTTATGCCTTTTTTCGGAGAGAGCCATAACTTTATTAGTGTGGTTTCTTGGTGAAGAACTAAACCAAATTGCAGGCTTTTAATAAATTCAACTTTACAAAATTAATTAAGTTTTGCAGAGACCGAGCAAATGAGTGTCTGAAGGTGTAGGGTTAGGGCTGTACGGTAAATGCGTTAAAACTTCTCAATTTTTAAGATGTTCATAATAATTCGGTCAGTTAAATTTTTACTGTTAAATCATGCGGAACCCAAACATGAACCTTTTTTTTTTTAATAAATCGATATGAAAATGGTTCTTCTCTTTTGTATTATTTTAATCTTCTTTTCGAGAGATTTGGTCTCAAGCCAGACTCTTACTTTAGGTACAAGTATTATCGTCCAGTAGCTTCTCTATTGGACAACTTTCATGTAAATACAAAAATGATTTAATAAAAAAATATATAAATTTACCTTTTTCTTTCTAAAATGAAGAGGAATATTTTTAAGAAATACATTCATATACAGGAAACCCAAACATGTCCCTCTTGGGTTAAAAATACACATTGGTGCGTACGCCACGAGGAACAAAACTAGAGTCCAAATCCAGAAACGCTGTTTATATCGATCCCACTCAAATTTTTCATGATTGTCGGTGATGGTTCAATATTTTCAAGTTAAAAATAAACAAATCATTTAAGCTGATTAACCCTACGGTAAATGGCCTTTAAAAAATACTTTAATAAATGCCCTGGGTCTGTGAGACCTGAAAAATTAATATTTTTTTTTAACAGGAGAATTGAAATAAAGTCTTAAACATTCAAAACTCATTTATGTACGTAAAAATTAATTAATAAAACGTTATTATTAAAATTGTATAAAAATACAAGACATTTTTCAGAATGTAGAAACTTAATTAATATTTTTTGTTGTTTTCAGTGTAAATCCGTAATACAGTTATTACAGAAAAATTGTCTTGCATCTTCTCGCTGTCAACATTATTATTCTAATGATTACAGAAATCTATAATATGACTCTTTTTACGAAGGTACCTGTAATATGATCTGTAATATGATCTGCGTATGTTAAGTTGTTATAGGCCTCTCAGACCCAAGACATTTAACGCAAGGTTAATACAGCACCATCAGCATTAACTTTTTTAGCCCTTTTTTCGAGAACCTAACAAAAATGAATTGTTAAATTTTAAAATTTATACATATATTAAACATAAATATTAAAATAAACTGAAATAATACCAACCATTTTGGTCGGTAAACGCTGAGAATGTATAAAACCAATGTATTTACAAACGTGATTTGGCAACTCATAGTCGGATAATTACTGTTGAGTTTACACGAATATGGTGTTGCGTTACCACTTTAATACGAGAATAAAGATTATTTTAGTTAAATATAAATGTACCGACACGAGCACACTTCTAATTCATCAAATGGGGTTTAACAAAAGCAAACAGATTCTTTCGAGTAAAATATTGTACGATAAAATAAAAATAATCAAATTTGAATTGTATTGCCCGAATTTGTTTAAATCATGTTTAAATTAATTTATTTAGATTATAGGGATTTGTTCTTAGAATGTAAAGGCTTTAATTCCCAAGATAAGTAAAATTCAAGTAAAAATAGTCAAAATTGGTTGCATTAAAATATAAAATTTGTCAATTTAATTTTTTGTGAAAAGGAGATTTGGAACAGTAGCGAGTATTATCTAAACGCCCATTGATTATAATCATATAAACATTTATTAAAGCCTAGACAATGTCTAGTAGACATGCTATTGGGTAAGCTTATTGGAATGTATAATAGTATATTATGTATTAAGTTTAATAAACACCATTTTATAGGCAAATTAATGAGTGTTTAGAAAAGTTTATAAACGAGGTGCATACTTTTTCTACGACAAATACTTATTATTATCTTAAAATGATTTAAATAAAAAATTTGTATAGAGCGCCATCTATGAAACAATAGAGGAATCTGTGTGTCACCGTCAAATGTAAAATTTTTATATTTTTTTATAAACACAATTATAAAGGTTATAAATCGAAATGTATTTCTTGAAAATTGACAGTTTTTCACAGTGAAAGTAAAGAAAATGTTTTATGAGCACTTTACAGTGGAGTCCGTGCCCGAATTTAAGTTATAGTTTACTCCCGGCGAAACTAAAAGGTCAGTACAATGTTCATATAAACTTTTTAAATATTGGCGTTGAAAAACTATTTAATACTTTTGTATTTTTAAATAAAATAATTTTCACATTTAGTGTTATTTTACAAGAAAGGCAATTTATTGTAACGATTGTATGACTGTTAACTAACTTAAAACTAACTTCAGCCCGTGACTAAAGCGCCATAAAGCCACAACTTGTCAATGTGGATTTAAAAGGTCACTTAGTGTCATGGAAACATGTACGCATTTTAAAGGTGGGAGTAGAAAAAAAAGTATTAAATAAATAAATAATGGAATTGAAGGTTACTAAAGGAAATTATTTTTAAAGAAAATTAAAAAAAAAAACCTTCAGTTAATAGAAATTGTGTTACCGCAACTTCAAAATAACATTGGTTTATGAGTTTAAAAACATTAAAAACAAGCATGGCCAAATTTATTGCCCCGAACTGTTGATTTTAAGGTATTATAGTGTAAATGCTTTTAAAATTAAATTAAAAATGTTCAAATATAACATGTTGTAACTGTAACTGTAACGTATTTATCTTTGGAATTAATAATGTTTCTATGTTATCTACATTTATTTGTTGTATATTAAAATGTTTTGACTTGTCCTATACATATGTAAATATGCCCTTTGGATCAATAAACTATCTATCTATCTATCTATCTATCTATCTATCATTTTAAAGCTTGAAAATCTTTCAACGGGTTTATCGGGTCCAGATACAATAATATTTTTGCTAAGTGTATCTGGCCCGAATTAACCTATTATTATTTATATTTAATGTTTTGGCTTGTTGTTAATAGGTTAATTTGGGACAGATACGTTAAAACGAATACAATTTTGCAAAATTATTAATTATTTACCAATATCCACTTTAGTGTGTCAAACATTACACGAAGAGGCTTAAAATTGGACCTTAAAACATAATAAATCATTTAAAAATTATATTAAAATCCTTAACCAATTTTTTACTTTTACATGATACACTTTTACACTTTTGTTGTTATTTTTTTTATTAAGTATAAATTTATTTAATATATGTAAGAGCAGTTACGGAAAAGGATAAGACATTGTTTAAAAACCTAACTGATATAGTTTGAAAGTAAATTTCTGAGAATTTGTAATACAATAAACCGAAAAAGTATAAAAGAAACATATATTGCAAAGTCAGTTGTGCGTGGGCAGAGTAATGTGAAGTAGAATATAAATAGAGTAGAAGAATAGGAAGCAGCGTAATCGAGTGAGATTCGACGAGGATGCCTCACCGAAATAACCTCGGTCGTTTGTCACGATTAGCGGCGGACCCGGAGCGACCTGAGCCCGGAATGGCAGGTGGTGGCTCCCGCGGTCAACACTGTATTACTTTCCAACTCCGGGAACTGATTTGACCAGGGTAAACACCTGCAGACTAATGTCGTTACTTCATCGCCCATAAATTTCGTTGGTCTTGTCGTGCATGTTCGCGGCCTACATGTTCCGATTTTACGGTTTTTAACGGCCGAAGAAATCGAAAATATTGAATGTCTGTCTCTGTGCGAATCACGCAACAGATTGGTTTTAGAAAATGCTCGCTTCGACCGTGTAATCATAATCCTTGTTATAAAGCGATGCTCCTTTGCTTTGCAATCGTACGCCGGAATTGCGATCCTCCCTAAAATAATTGGATTAGGAATTTCGTACGTGTATCGGAGACCGATATACACATTATCAATGCTTGGCAATTGTTCGCTAGATTTAACATATTCAATATCTTGAATAACTAAGAGAGATTTTTTCCAAGAGAATAAATTTTGGCAACGTCTATACAGCCCACATTTCTTTTCCGACTGGCGCTTTGAATAGGCGGGGCTCAAACGCCACACTCGAGCGCTCTCGCTTAGACTTCGGATGCTCTCGGTTCATCATAAGCCCGCGGAATCAGAAGCTCTTCTCAAGTGCATGGACACTACAGCATCCAAATCTAGTTTTATTCCATCCGTCGAACTAGATGGTTGCTTACGCTCCACACTTGTATCGCATTCTTCCGCAAACATGTTTCGGTCGTCTGTATAAAAATTCATCAAACAAATTTTAAAATAAAGAGTTTATCTGCATTAAGGGTGAAATATATGTAAAAAGTAAATTACTCTATTTTTAGTCGAGAAAAACAATTTTGTAAAATCTTAACAAGAAAAATCATTGTTTTTACATAAATACCGATATTCTCCTATAATACACGCGGTATAATAAACGTCAATTACGTACCATTATTAATATTTACGAGGGTGAGTTATGTGGTTATAACGGGTGTGCGCGAATAGTGAGGGTAGGCGAGGCATATACCAGTAGCCGAACGGGGCGACTGTCAGTTCGCTCTTAGCCGTCGAGGTAGTAACATCGGTGTATCCGCTCGTGCGACATAAACCACGCGCTAACTTGCGATGAACTTATAACATGCTAACATTCGACAAAACGTTTATTCTGTGACAACCGAAAGTAAAAATGGCTTTCTACATTTTTGGAATTTGTTTCGTGTTAGTGTTTTCTTGTGTCAATTCAAATGAGTATCAGCCAACGGACAGCTCGCAGCCCTTGAGGTACGAAGCACCAGATGATTGTCAATGGTGGGTTCGCGAACCGATAACAGCTGGAGGCCAGGACGAAGTTGCGTTGACTTGCAACTTACGTACGATTAATAGCGAATTCGACACGACGAATTTTAGCGTGATTCCATCCGAGCATACAACTTCGTTAAGAATTGAGTGCAATGGCGAGATAATGTCAAGGAGTAGTTTGGATGATAAAAGTTTTGTTCATTTAACAAAACTTAGGGCACTCGAGTTGGAAAACTGCAAACTAGGAAGATGGCCCTCGGGAACTCTGCTTGGATTACGTGACCTAAGAAATCTTACAGTGCGAACGCATAATACAGAATGGCCTGCCATGAACTTGGAATTCGCCAAAGACAGCTTTTCTCCTGTTAGACAAGTTGAAAGGTTAGATTTAAGCTGCAACAACATTTGGTCCTTTCCGGAAAATCTGTTCTGTCCACTGATTAACTTGGTATTTTTGAACGTTAGTGAAAACCGCTTGCAGGACGTGAGTGACTTAGGTTTTAGAGAAAAAGCCCCCGGACTACCGCAACCGCTTATCAGTGTTCCCGACGAAGATCAGCCCCAGCATCATCAAACATCACGCACGTTTGCTCATCCCTGCAGTTTAGATATTCAGGTACTTGACACCTCATTTAACCATTTCGTTTTGATTCCTGCGAATGGATTTAGTGTGCTTCGACGACTTCGTGAACTTTACATTCATAACAATGAAATTTCTATGGTCGCCGATAAAGCTTTAGCCGGGTTAAAAGCTTTGCAAATATTCGATTTGTCCAATAACAAAGTAGTTGCACTTCCCTCCGAACTCTTTAAAGATAGTGCCGGCACAATAAAGGAAATTTATTTACAAAACAACTCAATCAGTGTATTAGCGCCCGGGTTATTTGCTAATTTGGAACAGTTACTGGCATTGGACTTGTCCCGAAATTTACTATCTAGTTCTTGGATAAATTCTGCCACATTTTCCGGACTTATTCGGTTAGTGCTATTAAATTTGTCGTATAATCGTATCACCAAACTTGAACCGACATTTTTCAAAGACCTGTACACGCTGCAAATCCTGAATTTAGAACATAATTCACTCGAAACCATTCCTGCAGACACGTTTGCTCCCATGAATAATTTACACACTCTAATTATTTCTTTTAATAAAATCACGTATTTAGACGCTTACTCTCTAAACGGTTTATATGTGCTTTCGCTTCTGGCTCTCGATAACAATCTCCTGGAAGGAATTCATCCCGAAGCGTTTAGAAACTGTTCTAGTTTGCAAGACTTAAACTTAAATGGCAACCAAATAAAGGCCGTGCCTCTAGCTTTAAAAGATATGCGTTTGCTCCGCACCGTAGATTTAGGCGAAAACATGATCACGTCCTTGGAAGAGCCTGGCTTTCGAGGAATGAGCAATTTATATGGCTTAAGACTAATCGGAAATCGACTTCAGAACATCAGCAAGCGTGTTTTCGCAGATTTGCCCGAATTGCAGATTTTGAACCTGGCTCGTAATAAAATCCAAAGGGTGGATCACGGAGCTTTTCAATCTAGTCCTAACCTACAAGCAATACGATTAGATTCTAATCAGCTAACTGACGTGAATGGATTGTTTGCCGAAATTCCAAGTTTACTTTGGCTCAATATTTCCGATAATCAAATTGAATGGTTTGATTATGCTTTAATACCGCGGGGACTTCAATGGCTCGATATGCATAAAAATAACGTACGAGAACTCGGCAACCACTATAATCTTGATTTCGAGCTGAAACTGCAAACATTGGATGCCAGTTTTAATAAACTGTCAAAGATCAGTGCGTCCGCAGTGCCGAGCAGCGTTGAATTGTTATTTTTAAATGACAATCTAATATCAATCGTCGAACCACACACATTCATAAAGAAAACCAACCTGACAAGAGTGGACTTGTACGCAAATCAGATAGTGAGTATGGATTTGAACGCACTGCGGTTAACTCCGGTGGATCCTGAAAGGCCGCTGCCGGAGTTTTACATTGGCGGAAATCCATTTCAATGTGATTGCACTATGGAATGGCTGCAGAGAATAAATAAACTTGACCACCTGCGGCAACATCCTCGCGTTATGGACTTGGAAAGTATATACTGTAAGCTACTCTACAACCGTGATAATAATTATCTACCGCTGGTGGAAGCGGAATCATCCCAGTTTCTATGCACATATAAAACGCATTGTTTCGCATTATGCCATTGTTGCGATTTTGATGCCTGCGATTGCGAAATGACTTGTCCTACAAATTGCACATGCTATCACGACCAATCTTGGTCGGCCAACGTAGTCGAATGCTCCGGAGTTGGATATACCGAAATGCCCAATAAAATACCCATGGATGCCACAGAAGTATATCTGGATGGCAATAATTTCGGTGAGTTGTCTAGTCATGCATTTATAGGCCGTAAAAACTTAAAAGTTCTCTTCGCAAACAATTCCAATATCGCCGCAATTTACAATCACACGTTCAGTGGGTTACGTCGACTAACAGTTCTTCATTTGGAGAATAACAACATTAAAGAATTGCTTGGATTCGAACTTGCTACTTTGGAGTACTTAAGGGAGCTATATTTACAAGGAAATTTGATACACTTTATTGATAACAGAACTTTTGTCGAATTAAAACAACTTGAAGTTCTTCGATTGGACGGAAATAGATTAAGAACTTTTGACGTGTGGCAATTTGCTTTGAATCCTTATTTAGTAGAAGTAGGCCTATCACAAAATCAATGGTCCTGCGATTGCCTTTACGTTAAGAAATACAAAAACTGGCTGCAAGTTAATTATGGCAAAGTCGTAGACGCAAACAAAATTGTTTGTATGTATAACAACATTACTAAGGCATTAGGAACTCACATGGCCGACTTTAATTCAACATCTTGTTCACCGAGCGCATTAGGTAATCATCCTGTGGTAGAAACAAAAGTTATGAACGATTATTTACCGCTTTTATTAGTAACGATGTGCGTTTTCTTGGCTTCAGTGGTATTAGTGTGTGGTGCATTTTATTATCGTCGCGAATTACGCGTGTGGATTTATTCACGTTGTGGATTAAGAATGTGCTATAAAACAACAGCTTTCGAAGAACAACAGGATAAAGACAGACTTTTCGATGCTTACTTAAGCTACAGTGTAAAGGACGAAGCGTTCGTTAGCCAAGTATTAGCTCCGGGCCTGGAATCCGGCGATCCCGGTTATAGACTTTGTTTACATTACCGAGACTTTAATGTGTCGGCGTACGTCGCTGATACAATTATCGAGGCAGTCGAGTCATCGCGACGAACCATAATAGTTTTGTCAAAGAACTTTTTGCATAATGAATGGTGTCGGTTCGAGTTTAAATCGGCTTTGCACGAAGTGTTAAAAGACAGGCGACGCAGATTAATATTCGTGGTGGCAGGCGAACTGCCGCCCCGCGACCTGGACCCAGACCTGCGTCTCTATCTAAAAACAAACACCGTCATCGAGTGGGGCGACCGTCAGTTCTGGCAAAAGTTGCAGTTTGCTATGCCCGACGTTCGAAGACCCTGTATACACCAAAGATCGGCAGTGAACATCTACGCCACTGCTACACCCTCGCACTTGGAGCGGTCCAGGAGTCCTGCCATCCCGCCGCCTCCGCCGCCAGGAAAGCTGCCCCCCTTCCTGCAGCATTCTTCCAGCTTACCGAGGGATACTCGAACGATGCCGCATCCATTGTGGGCGTAGCGGATGTTTTGCAGCAGGTGAGATCATTTACATGTTTATTATTTTTTATTGTATCTTTATTTTCCCGAATGTGACAGGGATATTAATACAAAACTTTGTTTTATACATCCCACGATTTATTTATAAGCCAATAAGCGCCACAATTTATAACTTAATATTAAAAATTATTTTCTAAATATTAGGATTATAAGTTATAACATTATTATTTTTACCTGAAAAGTTCAGGATTAAATATTATAAATCAAACCAAATGGAAGTAAATTATCTATAATAAGCTCATTTTAAAGTATCCTGCGGTACACTTAATTGCATATGGAGAACCTTTGTACAACGCATAAAATTATGTATATTTTTTTATGCTATACTAAATATTCATATCATAGAACTCATATAATAGTATGTTATGTATCAAGTTTTATAAAAGCCATTTTAGTTACGAGTTTTATTAGGCACGAGCGAAGCTTGCAAGCAAGTGTTTAATAAAAACGAGTGTCTAGATAAGTTTATAAAACGAGTTGCATACTATACTTTATCTACGACGACCACAAAGAAGAATTTAAATCCAATTTTATTTGTTAAACATTTGACATCTGTCAAATGTCAACGGAATTAACCTCACTTTTCTCTAATTCATAATAAAGCTAACTTCAGCCCGTGACTAAAATGCCAAAAAGCCACTATTGCTAACTTCAGCCCGTGACTAAAACGCCATAAAGTCACAGTTTGTCAATGTAGAAGTAGATAAAATTAATTAAAATCATATTGCAAGAAACTAAATATTATTGTAAAAAGTTGTTTTTTATACGAACATTTTAATAAGTATTAATATGTATATTAAATTAAATTCTTAACATTGAAAATGTCGCTTGGGGTCACAATTATTCACATTTATAAAGTTGTTCTCAAAATAATGTTTTTAACTAAATAAATTTTGTCCGAGTTTAATGAATTTTACCCAAAATTTTGATTTGTGTATCTATCTATGTAAATATGTAAAATTTTAACGCAATCAAATAAAAATTAGTAAAATGGCACTTAAAAAACCGCGCGTCCCAAAATTTATATTTGCGGTACTTTTAGCTCCTGGCGTTTATCCGACTCCTTAAATAAATTATGTGAAAAGTTATGAATTAAATATGTATTTATATAAGTTTTAAAACAAAAAGCAATGATACTGTCAAACTAAATATGTAAAAAAATATACAAAACATTCTTGCAAATTGCGAACATATTTTTTTTGATAAAATATTAGATGATTAAATATTTATTAATTTCTGTTGTTTACATAATTTTTTAAGGAGTAGACACGCTCCAGGAGGAGACGTTACCAGTGTTGACACGCGATAAATTAGATACATAAACCAAAATTTTGTGTAAAATTCATCAAATTCGGACAACATTTATTTGCTTAACGGCATCTAAAATTTTGAAAATTGACGATTTTTGCTTATTTGATTTTTATTAATTATTTGATTGGGTTCAAATTTTATATAAAATTATTATATAATAATAATTTACATAGATGTACATTTTGTTAAAATTGGACAAAAATTTAAAAAACTACCGAATTTTGGCTAAAAAACGTTTTAATTTTGATTTGATTTTTATAGGGAATTTGTTTATGAATGGGTATAATTTATTTATTTTTTAGTTTAATTGGGACCCATAGATACATTACCAATGATCCTTGGTTAATTAAAAATATATAAGAATGTAAATGTTTGCAAATCGAAAAAACAGTTTTTTACAATATTGCAAAAGCAAGAGCAATATGATGGTCATTTTTGGAATCAGCGCAAAAAGTTGTTGGCCACCCTGCCGTAAACAGAAAAATATTTTGTAGGCCTGTGTGATAAATAAACTTACTAAAAATAATCTATTTAAATTTTTTTACTGCATTAAAGGCGGTTTAGCGTTTCCTGGGACGTTAAAACGTATTTATTGGCACTATTATCTAAAATAAATTGGATATGGTCATAAAATTGAGGAAAGCTCACACGAAAGCCGAACCAAGCCAGGGAATGATTCCGAATAAATTTTACCTTTCTCTCTATCGGTTGGCTCTTATACAATTCGGCTCGTTAGTAACTGATCATTTTACTATCCCAGGTCACTTCCGCTCTAACGGACAGACTTAATGTCGCCAATTAACTGTTTTTCATAAAACTAAATTAATTACATACAAAATGTACAAATAAGTGAATTTTTCCTATTCTTAATAAGTTTTTACAGTTTATATATCCAATACAAGTAATTAATAACATATGGAAATTGATTTTAGAAAGAAAGAATCTAACTAGTAAATTGCCAGTCGTATAATCAATTGGATTTTTATGGCAGGTATTAATAAAAGTCAATGTTAAAAGTTTATAGTTCTGCTTATAAACCAATAAAAACGGTCATATTATGTGTTTTATGACATCGGAGCAAATAAAGTTGTTTTATTTGTTATGTAGATAAAGGAAGAGGATGCGTCATAAATAAAAGAAGGTTTAATTACATCAGAAGGGTGTTTTATTAGTTGAGACGTCTGGAAATAAATTAAATAATCGATAGTCTATTCATACATCAAAGTGACAGGTTTTATTCCTCGGTATTATGGGGACAAATGCATCTGTGACAATAGATACCGCAGCGTCTTTGTACCGTAAAAATCCTCACAAAGACGCATTTCGGTCCAGGATACTTATTTGTTCTTTGTCAATGTGTCCACTAGAGTTCACCTGGCTTCATATAGCAAATTGTGTTTGTTAGAATTGAGTATTGGTCAAAGGGCCGGATGCTCCTAAAGACACCGAGTTATTTACCTGTACCAATGATCACTTTAAGACGACAGATGCGATTACTCTTTTGTGTTTGTTCTGATCTCGTAAAGTTTGTCATTTATATTTCGACCACTGAACAATTATATTCAGCACAATAAAGTTTTTTAAATAATTCATTGGGTGCGGCCCTATCTATCTTCAATGGGATCATATGGGTCAATTACCAAAAGGAAAATTTCTAAATGTAAATTCTTGAACGAAAATTTTTATAAACGCCACAATATTGCCTAAAATTTCAATAAGACTGGTAAAACTACTTGATCTGCATAATATTTGTACTAAAATTGAAGCTAATTTTGCAATCTAACAAATATTTTTATCACAATAAATTTCTTAAAATAATTCATACTCGTATAGTGCAGTCCTATTTTTATCGAGATAATGGGCTCATACACCGCAAAACTATTGACTTATTCGAAAATATCCGGTAGCGTCGTTCGACATTTTCTCTATAAAATTGCGAATTTCCTCGGGAATTTGAGGGTCACTTATTGCCTACGAAAATGAACGATTCGTCCACAAAAAGACGATATTGGATCGGACGGACTTGCACTTTCTTTTCTTTTTTATTGGGCTGCTTTTTTGCACAGCGGACATTATTGCCCAACGTAGACGAGAAATCTAATTATTAACGAAAATATTAAGCTGCGCCATTTATTTTTCTTGGAAAAATACCAAAAATTGATTAAGTCAATTAAAACACAATTAGGAAAGGATAAAACACAAACGTTTACATAGATATATGAAGAAATAACAAGGAAAGTAATTAAAGTTATTTTAACGATTATATATGATAGGTAAAAGTTTTGAGAGGCAAAGAAATAATAAATAAATGTTTTTATTATTCCTTTAAGGATATTTATGTTTCTCGCTTGTTGAATACGTTAGACCTTTTTCTCGACATATTTTAATAGTTTCTTTGACAAAGATAAATTTTATTGAAAAAGTCTGACATCTCCAGATACCTAATTCGTTTTTATATATTTTAAAAAGCGAACTTTTTGTTGTATAAAACAATATTATACATATATTCCACACGATTAAAAATTAAGCTGTTTAATAAGGTATAAATGATTTTTAAGTTTAATTTTATAACTACCCTCTAGGGTGGGCCAAAAAAACTTTTAAATTTTTTTTCTTTAGCTACCATGAAAATATTGCCTAAGATGACGAAAACAAAATTCTGATAAAGTTTGCTCTTAATATTAATATTAAGAGGTGGCTCATCACGATTTTTTATTTTTTATTTTTGCCCACCCTACTACCCACACATATGAAATCGAAACTAGGATGGTTTTAGTCATTAGGGAAACCTTAGAAACTAAAAGAATGTGTAACCTAAAACTTTTGTCATTCGAATAATTATATTTGAGACAGCATGTCGGTTGACGAGGGGAATAATTACAAGCTACGAAATTAATTCTATTCGACATTTCGGTATAAAATTGGGTCTGTGGAAAAGAAAATATAAAATTACCTAGCACCAAAGACATTCGATAGAAATGTCATTCGAATGGCTGATCGTTTGGCCAGCATAATGTTATACCGGTGGTAGCAATCTAAGGTTACAAAAATATGTCCTTTGCCTTATTGTGTTCTATAATCGGTGGCAGTGAAAGCGTATAACTGGGGACCGGTCCTCGCCCATTGTAAGTTAAAAGGATGGGAGGAGCACTTATCGCCGTCTCTTTTATTCTATTAATTTTGTACCGAGACAGGAGCGAGACAAAATTTTAAATTTACAAAGGTTTCGGTTTAACTAAGTCCTTTTATGTGCCGACTCGTATGAGAAAATATCGGTTGACATTTTTTAGGGACACATGCAAGTTGTAAACAAACCGAAACATACTCTGCACTACTACCAAAGTGGCCATGTCTAGTTAACTATATAAATATTTGCTCGAAGGCAAAATTTAATTTCCTAAATGGATACTTTACTAACATAATGCAATTTTCCTTTTTGAAATGTCAATATTACTATAATATTGTTATATTTTTACCCAATAAATAAATATTGTTTCTATAAGTCATTAAAATGGAAATTCGGTTTTTCTATCATATGAAAAAATATTTGAAAGAAAGCTAATTGGGTTTGGGTGATTAGCCATTTGATATTTGGTTGAGTGCTTCTTAATCAGTGAAATAGTTCCATTCTCAAGGATAATTAAAAAGACA